GAACGACAAACACCAATTTTTTCTACTGAACTATATCGCAGTAGGTCATTAACTGATGAGACCATGTTGGGCCTAACTAAGTTGCTCTATTCCCCGCCGTTGCTCCATACAAGCACATGTATTTGCGACCTCTATGTAACAAAGTAATAGAGGAACACAGCTTTGATACAGTTAAACCTCGTTATAATGAGACGGGCTATAACGAAATAATAGATATAACGAGCAAATCGTAATTCCCCTTGAAAGTCCCCATACAAACCAATGTATTCAAAACCTCGTTTTAACGAGGCAAAATTTGCCTGTTATGGGATATAACGAACAAATTTTGTTAGGAAGTAAAATTTTGAGCCGATGTCACGACAGTGCACAATGCGAATTTGAGACGGCGCGCAACGCGAGAACTGTATTTAGCAGTTCAAAACTCCCGCCACGCGCCCTCTAGCAACGCGCGCAAAGCAGACGGCACGCGCTGTTTCCGGACAAGAGGTCGCTGCACGTGCGCCGCTTGGCTACCACCGACAACAGAGCGCTCTGCAGCGCCGCGAACGTCTCGCCCTTTTCTTTTGTGTCTTCTTTATATTCTCCCTCTCCCCTTTTTCATGGCGCTAAGGCGAGCTTCCTAATCTTACATACCCCCTTCTCCTCGAGTAACCGGTTCCTAGAGGGCACCGCAAAAGAGCGCCCCTTCTGCCCCTTCCTCTTCACAGTCACTTTCTTTGCAAGTGTTGTCGCTCGCCGACGTGAGCCGCGTTTCTTTTGCGTGCGTGTTTCTTCTCTTTTTCGACCGCTTCCGCCTCCTCTTTTATCGTGCTGCGCTCGTGATTCCAGCAACATAAATGCGCCAGGCGGGAAGCGAAAGTGCATAATGCTAGATCAGAAGGCGGCTATGATAAGAGCCGTCGAATCGGGGACCAAGAAAGGCAACGTGGCAAGAGATTTTGGCGTATCGACGAGCACACTGTCAACCATCTTGAGCAAGCAGGAGTCCATCATCGACGCTGTTGCACGTGGCGTGAAAGGAAGCGCTAAGAGGATGAAGGCACCTGCCTTTGAAGCGGTCGAAAGCGCCGTTTTTAAATGGTTCTTAGACATGCGGGCCGTGAATCTGCCGGTGAGCGGTGCCTTGCTACAAAGAAAAGCGAGAGACTTTGCCAGCATCATGGACTATGACAACTTCGTAGCAAGTTCGAGTTGGCTCCAACGCTTCAAGGAGCGCCACGACATTGTTGGGAGAGCGGTCTGCGGCGAATCGCAATCTGTTGACGAAGCAGAGGCTACCAAGTGGACGAAAGAAAACATTGTGCGGCTGCTAGAAAAATACAGCGCGGAGGATATTTTTAACGCGGACGAGACCGCTCTCTTTTTCAAGATGTTGCCGCACAAGACGTTAGCCCTCAAAGGCGAGCCGTGCCATGGCGGCAAACAAAGTAAGCTACGGATCACTGAGCTACTTTGTGCAAACATGACCGGCTCTGAGAAGCTGCCAATTTTCGTAATAGGCAAGAGTGCATCCCCTCGCTGCTTTAAGGGGAAGAGGCAGCTCCCTGTCAAGTACGTAGCCAATCGCAAAGCCTGGATGACCAGGGAGATTTTTTCGAAATGGCTTTGTGAATGGGACGAGAAGCTGGCAAAGGCGAACCGCAAGGTGTGCCTTGTTTTAGATAACTGCACCGCCCACCATACCGCTGCCGTGCTTCAAAACATCCGAGCTGCTGTTCCTTCCTGCCTACTGCACAGCAAAAATACAGCCGCTTGACCAAGCCGTGATTACGTCGCTGAAGGCAGGTTACCGCAAGCGTGTGATAGACAAGCTCCTGCTCAACATGAGGATGAAGCGAGACACCGATGTTGACTTGTACGCTGCGCTCGAAATGTTTCAGGCGGCGTGGATGAGTGTGAGGCGACGATCGCAAACTGCTTTCGACACGCCTCATTTGCCGCCGCACTAGACGCCAGCGATGAGCCATCAGACGAGCCCACTGTGCCGGACGGTTTTGCCACATCAGACGAAATGACTGCATCATGGACGGCACTTCGTGACGCCGATGTCGTGCCTGACAGCGAGTCGTTTTGCGACTATGTGAGTGCGGACTCGGAAGTGGTGGCAACGGAGCAGCTCCTGGATGACGATATTCTGCGCACTGTCAGTGATCGTAACGAAACCAGTGACGATGACTCTGTCGACGAACAGGAGACAAACGTGCCGACGGCGTCGGAGGCATTAGACGCGGTGGACGTACTGCGCCGCTACTTCGGCGCTCACGAGGGCGGCGAAGATGGCTTGAACATTGCGGTCGCAGCTGAGCGAGCCATCGTTCGCATCAGGAAGATGCATCAACGTCCAATTACGGACTTCTTTGCAGCTAAGTCTGCCTGAAATGCAAGCTGTGTATTTTGAAGTGCATTAAAACAGGTGCATGACTTTTTTCTTTTTATTTGGGAATGCGGTTATTTTGTTGCATACCACCGGGCAGCGGGATGCTTGTTCGCCCGCTATTTTTTGGGGGTAAGTACAGTGCATAATATTGGCGGTAAATGCCCACTACGGCTATAACGAAATATTGGTTATAACGATCGAATAGCGGCGGCCCTCCAATTTCATTATAACGAGGTTTAACTGTATAACGAATTTTCCCCACGGACAACCTAGGAAATTTGCCACGGAATTCGGTACGAGCATGACTCTCCCTTGGGTGCCCCACCACTGACAAAGTGTGAAGTGGCGGCGGCTCGCACGTCGCAGCAGGCAAAAGCGAGCGCTCGTGTTTGCGCACAGGTGAGCACGAGGCGGGCCTGCACCCCACGAGGTGGTGTTGCCACCGTTCTTCCCGCTGTGGACACATGTGCCCCTTCTGCCTCCAAACCAAAAACAAATAAATATAAAAGGAAAACAAAACCCACTGTTGAGTTGGGAGTGCCACGCTTTTAGTTAGCGTCACACATGTGGAACCATCTACATATGGAGGGCGCTTTACGCAATAGTTTTACGTGGTATCCGTGTCTGTGGCGTTCGCTCTTCATTTTGGACGCAGTGCGTGCATGCATGATTTTACTGCACACGCATGTTGCGGCCCCTGACGATGCCTGCTTTTTTATTTGCTTTTAATTTTTTTCAAACGCGGACAACCGCATCATTACCACCGAGAAAATGTCAGATTAGGTGCTGACGGAAACTCTGCGAGAACATGAATCTTTGGAGGTTGACTCGTCACATGCTTCAGTCTTGCGCCTTGCTGAGAGTTCGCAAGCTCATGGCTTTTGCGATTACCTGATTAGTTCTGGCAATAACACGACGGCGCGTTTAATGCAATGCAATAACACGATAGCAAAAATTTGTAATGTTATGCTGGTGTGAGCAAAGACTGCCGCTCCAGGGAGAAGTGCTCTTTTCACACAGCTTTTTCAAGTTGAAAGCGCACCGATACTTGCCAATGTAGCAAACGCACCAGGTATCGCGACTGCCTTTAAAATCAAAGTTCATTGTTGCTAAACGATCCCACCTCCCCCACCCCTCCGCGTTTTTTTTTTTTTTTTTCATGCTTGTTCAAGTCAGGTGGTTTCCTTTCTGTTTGAGCATTTAATGGCAGTTCGAACAAGTGGGGATTTATTGTATTTATTCATGTAATGAAACCGCTTTTATTTTTTGACTTCAATTTAGGAGGAGGGTTTATTACGTGGGAGAAAAAGTCACAAGAGTTATAAGAGCGAAAACTTCGCATTACGGTATTGCTTGTTCTGGCCCACAAAATGCGCGACGAATCGTTTCTGTAACCCGCTCTTGTTTTCTCCCTTAACAAACAGACAAACCCGACAATAAAAATGCAGCGTCGGATGGCGGTGCACAAACGTTGTGGCCGTTGTGCCGTCGGCGCGGTGGGCTCTTTGCATGGTCTTTGAGATAGCAGGCAATGGGCACCACTCGAAGGCTATGCATTTGTTTTTCTGCTTTGTTCTCGTGCAGTTGTGTTTGCGTGGTGCTATAATCAAGGAGGTTTCTCCTGCATTCTACAGATGGCGCTCTGTCGCAAAAAGTGCGACTTTTGAATTTTTATTGACGTCGTACGGGTTTGCGCTGATCGCAACTGTTTAGCACGGTTGCGAAACTATGCTTTGATTTTTATTGCGTCGATTTACCGTTGTTTCGATAGTGAACAACACTGGCTATCACACCGAAATAAAATGAGAAGATACATTAAAATTTGTTTTTCTTTTTTCAAAGACCAAGGTGGGGGGGAAGGGGGAGTTCATTATACGAGTGGGTTCATTACGCCAGTAAATAGCGTACCTTATGCGCCTTCCAGGCGATAGAAATGGGTAGACTGTTTTGATCTCTGCTTCTGCAGCGCTTGCACGCTTTCACCCGCTCGTGAAAGTTATGTTGCGCCGTGGCATGTTATCAATTTGGACTTGTTACGGAACATGGCGACAAGAGCAAAACTCGTCGAGAGCGTCCATATAATTGCTATCGCAATAGTAACGCAGTTTTTTACCGCTAAATATGAGTTTTGGGTTAACTCTGCAGCCAGTCTGCCTTTTGTTCGATTTGTGCGTTTATTTTCTGAATTTTCGTACTGAACCTTCATATAACGAAACCCTTTTTATAACAAATTTTTTCCAGAAATTTATCAATTTCATTATATCTAGGTTCGCCTGTATCATTGACGCCAATAAGCATTTGAGCCAGAGTTGCTTTTGGGGGAAAGGGGGATTCTTGCGGATTACTAGCATGCATTCAGCATGGTGGTCCACCACGATTACGTGATATCAGTTGCAATTTTATCAGTGCTGTGGGCACTGGCCGAGTGTCGTCAGAACCAAACGGTAATATTTCAGTGATAATTTCGACAGAGTCATTTGCAGTAGTTGCGGTGAGCGGTAGTTCTATTCTGACTGTCCTATGGACATGAAAACACACCAATAGGCAAGTTTCTATAAGACTACGGGCACTTGTTTTGAATATTTAGAGTAAAACTATGAGAGGAATAAATAAAAATGCAGACCTTAATATCATCTTCATAATCACTGTCGTCAGCTTTCCGCTTCTTCTTGACTTTTTCTTCAGACTTGCTCTTCTTGGAAGCTTTCTGTGACCTATAGTGTGACATCACGTTACTGTTAGAAACAACAGTACCACATAAGCTTTATAGTAGGCTTGTGCATATATTCGAATACTTCAAATATTTGTACGAATAGTATAATATTCGAATTCTTTTCGATTCAAATTTAAATTATCGAATATTTTAAACTATTGGACATTGAAAAGATGTAAACTGCATGTAGCCACCTGTAAAGGTGTTTTCACTGCAGTACAGCTATGCTAAGCTGTGAAAACTCCTATTCAGAGGAAATATGCTTTGTTGCAAAGCCTTACTCCAAATTTGAATGGCCCCTGCAACACTTTTTCAGCATGGCCAGCAAACACTGCCGATAGGTCGTCGAAGCTACCGAGAACACGCGAGCTAAATATTATAGCACAGCACGCAACCTGGACTTCACAATAAATTCTCAAATTCAGATAAAAATTGCACTCTTCTCTCGGCAAATGATGCCACCATGTCAAAAATCTGCTCGCACTTTTCAGTGCGATGGCGCATGTCCACGTGTACATGCGCAATCGCACTGAAAAGTGCTAAGGTGTTGCAGGCGTTCACGATGTTTCTTTCAATCGTTTTATGGTCGTCAGCAGTGTCGATGTGTTGAATGTGTTGATTATGAATGTGTCGATGTGTTGAATGTGTCGATGTGTTGATTATGAGAGACGCCGTAGTGGAGGGCTCTGGAAATTTTGACCACCTGGGGTTCTTTAACGTGCACCCAAATCTGAGCACACGGGCCTCGACATTTACGCCTCCATCGGAAATGCAGCCGCCGCAGCCGGGATTTGAACCCGCGACCTGCGGGTCAGCAGCCGAGTACCTTAGCCACTAGACCACCGCGGCGGGGCGAGTGCTCAAGGTCACGACACGCATGTGGCGAATTTTTTTCCTTGTGCATGCCACCTCTCCTGGCTTTGCTTCAAGCGCTTTTGTCGGGACGAGAAGAGAGAATGCAATTGCAGCATGTGGCAAATCTTTGAGACTCCACTCATACTCAACAAATTCTAAAAAGTTTTGCGCCGGTTAATTCATAAGGCAATAACCTTCTTTAGTGAATCCATTCCATGGCTACTTGAAAAACTGTTGCTGCAGGGTCCCTTTGAATGAACATACTATTCTGAAATCGAGTGATCATTTTCTAAGCTTAAAAGCTTGTTTTGCCGGCTTATACACTCTAACTGCAACGAATAATGTTACATATTTTACAGGTTATCGCATGCATCCCACTGAAAGTCAAATTCTGCTACTTCTCAAAGTTGTTTCGACTTCCCTTAAATGGAAAAAAAAAAAATAATAAAGGCGGCACTTGCATAGAGGCCATGTTTCAAAAAATATTGTGCATGTTAGTTAGGTCCTGACAAATATGCCCAGTTTTCTTTATACGTCATACATTCTATACAAATTCAATTCAAAATTATTAGACCAAAATCACTGTTCGCTTCGAACCTAAGATTCACTATTCGTACTAGCCTACTTTACAGCTCAACCATAAAAATATTTCACGTGTGTACAGACAATTATGCCTTGAATGCACAAAAATTTACATTATGTTACATTGATTGATAGATATGTGGGGTTTAGCGTCCCAAAACCACCATATAATTATAAGAGACGCCGTAGTGGAGGGCTCCGAAAATTTCAACCACTAGCGGTTCTTTAACGTGCACCCAAATCTGAACACACGGGCCTACAGAATTTCTGGCTCCATCGAAAATACAGCCGCCAAAGCCGGGATTCGATCCCCCGACCTGCGGGTCACAGCAGCCGAGTACCTTAGCCACTAGATTACTGCGGTGGGGCTTACACTATGTCACATTGCGCCTTGTGTACAGCAAAAGAATTCAAAACATCCTTCTTATCTTAGTTACAGCTTCTGTTGTTTACCTTTCACAAAAAATAAAATGAAAATGTGCCTAGCAAATGTGTTGTACGTAAATAGTGTCAAACAAATGTGCACATTCTAAAGGTTAGTCTAGGGCACTATGCAGGTTTTACAACACAATGTCAATGAGAAAAACTACATTGCATTTCAAAAAAGAATAGAGAATTCTACACACAAACTTTAGTTACCTGATAGCAAGGGGTTCATCTTCTTCAGAATCTGACTCCAAAGCACGCTTGTTTTTGACAGATGAGGTATCAGACAGCCTTTGCTGTGGCTTACGTGCAGACTGTGTAGAAACAAAAGATATAATTGATTATATTAAAATCAGTCAACCTTTTCTGCTGACGAATTTCACTAGAGAAATTTAACACTGATAAATGCTCTTTCCGATAAGCCCAAGTAGCCGGCTCCAGCCGCGCCATCGCGAATCTATAATTATTTTAAAATACCTATTTTTCTCGCAATTTCCAGAATAATTTTTGCTACCTAGGAGGGTGAAACAAATTTTCCGAAGCACTTCTGCATGGTTTTCAGGGTAGATATTTTGGAATCGGATAAAAGGGTTCCAGAAACTGAAAAATTGCTTTTCAAAATACCGATTGTTTTTTTGCCACTTTTACGCGATACAAAAGCCACGTCCCTAATAAAATGACTGTAGTCAAATCTTGATGTGATGTAAGACGGTGAAGAAGAGGACATACCAGTGGCACATCATCATCGCTAAGCACCTCGCCCTTGATCTCACTGATGTCTACAGTCTCGGTCTCAAGGGTCATCCGTGGAGCCGGAGGGTGGGGTGGCGATGACACTTCAGTCTTCACCTTTGCTGGAGGTGGGGGCATGCCTTCAGCCCCAGATTTTTTAGAAGTTCCCGCTTCCTGCTTGATCTTTACAGGAGAAGTGCTATCCCTATGCTTCTCCGATGAACTCTTGTGCTTCTCACGTTCCTGCAGGAGAAACGAAAGCAACTTTATTAACCCCACCACAACGAACACCATTTCAACGAAATTTCTGCTACAACGAAAGATTCTCGTTTCCCATCGGCAGTCCACAAGAGTCAATGCATAAATATTCTACCTAAACAAACACTTTTTCTTCTGCCGTTCCGCTTCAATAAAATTTGACAATGCAATTTTATGCTCAGATATTTATTTCATGCAGTAAACACAATCTTAGACATTTTGATGCATTTTCAGAACATAAAAATACGACTGCGAAGACTAAAACATGCGTTGCCAACACTAGAAACCACCGCCGTTTACTAAGCATGGGGGCCACCATTGCTATGCAATGCGACTGTCCTGCTTTTCCAAATGGCTTGATTTTGAGCTGCAGACAATCCAAAGCTGATGTTTAGTCACTCTGTTCATAGTTTCCTACACGCTGCTGCTGGGCGCCATCGTGGAACAATGCCTTTTCCGATGCCAATGCATTTGGTTCTTTTTGCCCTTGGTCAGCGAGCTCACCAGTCAAAGCGGCTGTTCGTCGAAATTATTAACGAAATCAGCCAGCCGCGACTTGTGGATGATAAAAATTATTTAAATAACATAGAATAAGGCATAAGTCACCGCTCCACGTTACCATGCCTTCATCTCAGCGTCGTTAGACACCTTTAACTCTTTCGTTATCATCGTTATCACGCCTATTCAAATCGATCACCGGTGATCGACGCTTTTCGGTCATCGATTTTGGCATGTTAAATTTATTTCTCGTGCACCCAGCACTTTCTAGTAGTTAGTTCAGCCACTTGACCTGAATTTTTTTGAATTTGTCGACTTGGGCAACATAGCGATTTTCTTGGACTTTCGCACGAACCTATGAGCGTTTATAGTTCGTAAAATGCACTAGGTTGGCGAATTTGACAGAAGTGCGTGCCCCTCGTGATTATGCTTCAGTAACATCAAGTTCTGTAATGAAAAAAACTTTGCAAGCCAAATATAGAATTGATGTGTTAGCTTCACAATTTGACCGAGTGGAGCAATAATAATTGTTGGAAATTTATGCCAGCTATTCAATAGGGAGCTGTTGCTAGAAGTCCGGGAGAATTAATTCGACAAAAAAATATTTCCCAAGGTCCACCGCATGTTTAAAATGTGCAGGTGGCTCTCACAGCCAATTTCCATACACTTTGGTTTTGCTTGTATCGTTATAGACACAAGGTCACATCTAGTGCCACTAGTCGCTCCTGTTACGCGGTCGTCACGCGCGCATGGGTGCGCATCAGCGCTGAAAAACACATACGCTGCTTGAAACTGTCTTGCGACCCCACCTGAATTGAGTGAGAACAAGCCGAGATTTCATGGATGACAGCACCTGAGCTTCAAGTGTTATGGCGACGATGTTTTGCGTAAGCCCGAGACATCCATAGCTGTTCATGGGTTTGAATTGTTTACATCCTCAAGTTGTCTCCTATGCCGCAAGTGCATATAGCTTCCAACTTTTGTGCATAATCTTCTATTTACCCAGGTTACGTGCGTGGTCCACACTTCGCTAGGGCGAGGTGTGGTGGCGCTGGCTGCAGAGCTTCTCCTAACGACAAGAAGGCCCACGGAGCACATCTTCGCCCTGACTATGGAGCAGTGCGAAACCTTTTAGAACTGCGCACGGTATTGTCCGTTTTTTTTTAGTATAAAATGCGCAAAGATGCAAAGGAATATGCCCGGATGCATATATTGGAACGCCAACCTATGCGGAGTGAGGTGGCTTATGGAAAGAGGCGACGCTAGATGAAATAGCGCTCATTGAACATCTCATTTATAGAGGGATTATTTACATCACGGGTATCATTTTACACTGGAATACCTGGAGACTTTTATGGCAAGGCAACGAAAATTTACTGAGAAGAAAGTACGAGTGCACTGATGTCTCACGAAAAACCATGCAATGCTTCATCGCATGGTATGAGCAATGGCATGACCTCCACTAACAGTAGATAATCGCAATACAGATAAAACTATGAGCCTAATAAAATAGTGCAAGTAAGTATACTTATTAGGTTTATTTAAGAGCGACGCCAGCTGTTTCGTTTCACAGCAGCGATTTGCGTGCAGTATGTCCGTAGTATGCAGCACCAAATCATTTCCGTACTCTTTCGCCGGCCACGTGCCAATAATAACAACTCACATGTGAATGCCTGCAACGTTCGCATTATTGTAATGACGTACTATCTTAACAAAAAAAAAAAAAACGTTAAGAGCGCGAAAGCGTGGCTTTCGACTCGGTCGAACTGCTAGTGTCACTAGGAGATTCTGCTTTCAGCCGGCGTCACCGCAGCACTGCTCTGGAGCCCTTCCACAATGCGTAAGTTCCGAGCACCCAACATGACTGGCAAATGGTAAGCATATGTGTTCCATTAGTGGAAGCCAGAGAGTGCCCACGACGTCATTCAAGATTTAAAAGTCACGCCTTTCGCGGTAGAGAGCCATCTATCAAATGCAGGAGAAACCTTTTTGCTTATAGCGCCAAGCAAGCACAGCTACACGAAACCAAAGCAGGAAAAGCACAGAGCCTCCGAGATGAACGCAGTGCGTTACTGCCGCGCGAGCGTTATCTTCGAGGCCACGCAAAGCGCAACCGCGCCCACCGCATGTTGTGTACTCTCGACATTTGTGTGCACCGAGTTTCCGGCACTGAGTTTTTGTAGCCGGGTTCGTCGTAGTGAATTTAGTGGGACACTTGCTGCGCAGGGGGCATTTGGCCGGTATGCTAGCTACACGGCTGCATATGCTGGAGCATGGGAACCGAGTGACAGGATGACACTTAGGTGCCAATCTGTGCGCGTTCGTTATTAGAAAAAAAAAAAAAAAACAGGAAGATTTTCGACATACAAAAAAGATTCACGGTGAATTTTGTGAGCCAAAATAATTATGCGAAATTTTTGATGTTATACCATATTTGCTCGCGTAATCCTCGCACTTGCACAATTCTCACACACCCCACATTGCCCAACAAAAATGCGATTTTCTTTCCTTCGAGTATCATCGCACTATCGAAAACTGCCACAATAATGTCGTCTGCTCGTTCCAGCCACTGATGATGATAGCACGCGCCATCCCTTAAGCATCAAGCGTACTATTATTGCACAGAGATTCAATCCAATCCAAGCCAAAGTGGCAAGTGCGCTTTGCGGCACGTTTTGTATGTTGTGCCGCTAATCTTGTCACGTTATGGGGCGATACTGAAGCTACACAGCTGCTTTCAGGTTGAAAGTGATAAATCATGCACTAAACAACGGCAAGCAACAGGGCCGCCGGTAGGCCCTTCGAAGTCTACGAGTTTTTGTGTTTGCTACTGGTGGGCGGCAGCTGAAAGCCACCAGGACGCATTTGGCCTGCCATGTGCCTAAAACTAGGGTATTTTAATTCTCAACTATTTGCTTACACTTTTTGTGTCTCAAATAAATCTTGCCTTGTGTTGAACCTGTGCTTTTATTGTTGAGGTAAGTTTAAATTAGTACTTCTCAAAGCTTGCTGTTAGTTGCTGGTGTGAGAATCCAGATTTGCGGCAACTTCGTTTTCTTTTTCGCTCTGTACGTTTTCGTGGAAAATGTTCCCTGTGTAATTCTCGCAACCCCCAACTTTGCATTGGTTCCCCCCCCCCCCCCCCCGAAAAAAGTGTGAGGATTATGTCCCCCGCAATTGGTGCCAACTTTTCTGGGAAAAAAAAAAAGGTGGGTTCATTACGCAAGTAAATACGGTATTTCTCGTCAACTGCTTTTTAGCCCTTGGCAACAAAGCACACGATGAAAGTTTTGTGTTTGGCGACACTGCTGCCCCATTTTCTGTCCGAAAGGACATCTTGATGCGGACCGTGCAGAAATGCGTCACAGTTCTGTGTACCCGCATGGCCAAGTGCTGCACACGCTAGGTGGTAATAATTGCACCCAGCGGCTTGTTTTTGGAGCTCTCTCAAACCGAAACTGAGACTGGTCGGTAATGAGGAACCTGAAACTAATTATCTGTTGTGCACTGCTGCTAACTATGTGCCCTTGGCAACACGCTGCAAAAAAAAAAAACACGAGGCCAAAATTTTTTGTTCAGTGCTCCTCTAAGTTGATAAAATTACACAATGGTGTAAGGTGCACCAAAAATTTGTAACATTTTTGGTCTTCAAGAACAGCATTTAGTTTCGCTTTCATATGAACATTTTACAGGCAGTATGATACCGTATTTTCGTGCATATAACCTGCACCAAAAACCCAAAAATTTCAGTGGCAAAGTGGAGGTGGAGATAATACGTGGGGTTTTTCCTATAGTGCTGCTTCACAGCAATGCGTGTTGTGCTGTGAAGCAGTGTAGCGAAGGCTACGGAGGCGGTTTCCGCAAATTCGTGTTGCTCCGCAAGTACCACGGCAGCTTGCGGCCGATTTTGGTTTCGTTTGCCTGCATCGTTGAAGCGTTTAGAAAAACATTTGCGGAGAGACAATTAGATTGTTCAGTGTAAAATCTCACTGTCACACCACAAGTATATTTTTTGGGCGTTCGCGGCCGCTCAGTGACCCTCCACATGTCCCTACGTCACAGATGCCATGTTTACTTTTGGAAAGGGCTTGCCAAAAAGGTGGTGCTGTCTAAGAAAGTTCCATAATAATTAAAGTTAGTTCCATAATAAATAAAGCAGTATTTATTTCAGCAAGGCAAATGAGATATTATAGTGCCTATAGAGATATTATCAGTAAATTAATGTAATACTTTTTGACGCGGTAGCAGGCATGCATTTCGGTTCTGTTGCTTCCAGGGTGCTGTTACAGTGTACTAGAAGGGGTAGTGCTGTCAAGTTGTTGCCGAGTGTGAGCGCTCTTTACCTCGCTGATAGTACTACTAGTTCTCCACATCTCGACCCGTTCGCCAAGCATAAGTCGATCTGTTCTGTCACCATGAGTAGCGTACGGCGGCAGGCCTTCACGGCACAGCAAAAGCTTAAGATCATCGCCATTGCCGAGGAATTCGGAAATCGTAAAGCGGGAAGACGGCACGATGTGGACGAGTCCTGGGTGCGAATGTGGAGAAAGAAGAAAGAGAGCCTACAAGCCGCGCACCGCAACCGTAGGCCATTTCGTGGCCCCCGAGACCGGTGTCTACCCTGAGCTGGAGGCGGAGCTAGTAAAGTTCATCGAAGATGTGAAAAGCAGGGGTCACGCCGTTTCGACCGAGATGGCCCAAGTGAAAGCGCGGCGACTTTCGAGGGAGCTAGGCCTACCTCACGAGTTTCGTGCGAGCCGCGGATGGCTGCACCGCTTTATAAAGTGGCAAGGGCTCTCAATCAGACGGCGGACTACAATATGTCAACGCTTGCCGGCTTCTTATGAGGAGAAGCTGCTCAAGTACCAGAGACATGTAATTGGCCTGTGAAAGCAGCACAATTACATTTTCTCGCAAATCGGCAATGCGGATGAAACTGCTGTTTATTTTGAAATGCCGTTGGACACAACGATTGAGAAGACGGGCAGCAGTTCGGTGAGGGTGTTGACTGCGCATCACTGTCTTGCTTTGTGCCCTCGCCGACGGCACGCAACTGCGACCGTACGTCATCTTGAAAAGGAAAACTCTACCAAAGGTTCATTTGCCTGCCGGTGTGGTGGTGCGCGCACAGGAGAACGCATGGATGAACAGTGACTTGTTCAGAGACTGGATCAAGACGGTATGGGAGAAGAGGCCCGGTGCGATGCTCGCAAAGAGGTCCATGCCCGTTTTTGACTCGTTCCGCGGCCACACAACCGAGGAAGTGAAGGACCGCCTTTCACGCAACAGCACCGACTTAGTTGTTATACCCGGTGGAATGACGTCAATGTTGCAGCCTCTAGATGTGTCGCTTAACAAGCCCTTCAAAGCGCATATCAAGCGCTATTACGCCGAGTGGATGGCCGAAGGCTGCTATGACTTGACGCCGACAGGACGAGTCCGAAGGCCTGATATTGCCCTATTCTGCAAGTGGATTGTCGAGGCATGGAAGGCCATTCCAGGTGAGATGGTGCGAAAAAGTTTCAAGAAATGCTGCATCACAAACAACATGGATGGAACCGAAGATATGACCTTGCGCATAATAGTGAGGACTGCGGCTCAAGTGATAGCTCTAGCGAGAGTAGCGACAGTGAGTGAATTGTGACTGGCCTTGCAGACAGCGTATTCTGCTTGCTAAATAAAGCTCTTTCTGTATACATATGTGCTATGCTGCTTGAGCAGTAGCTTTTGTACAGCCTTTCCTGTATATCAAATGTGCGGGCAATATGCGAGGATTTTTTTTTTTTCTTTCTCGGTGAGCTGAAAGTGGGGGTGCGGATTATATGCAGGGGCGGGTTATACGCGCAAAAATACGGTATATCATCTGGCAATGAAAACAAGAATCACATTTTTCTCCCCCCAAAAAAACTAAACTTATGCTGATCATAACTAACAGCAAAGGTACAAGGTCTCTTGGAGATACACAATGCACAGGTGAAAAATATTTTTTTAGAAAACTTTATAGCCATGCATGTATTTCACATATGCCTAGTGGACAGTACAAAAAGGTTAATTCCCTGCTACCTTCAACGTGATATTCAGCTTATATATTTACAAGTGCCTTCACTACAGATAATAAGACTTGTCTGGTTATGTTCAAAAAGTGTTGCAGAGGCAGTACTGGCATAATTTCGACAACACATTTTCAGTGCTAATTGGAAGGGTGCTCAGAGACTTCCATGTCTCGGAGCACCCTGAATAAAATATTAGCTTTTCTGCAGCCAGTATTAGTTGCTTTCTAGAATGTCACGACACAGAAGGTGGTCACATGAGGAGCAACCTACTGTGACATTTTAACCCAAACTGTGCTTCGCTCGGCCTTCGACACCACAACATCATCATTATAATTAAATATGCAGTACTTTATTTTTCTAGCATTTTTTCTGCGTTGTTGAGGTACATCGCCCTTATTTATTGCAAAGAAATAAAGTAGAGATATTGTGTCTACTTCTCTAAAAAAGAAGAACTGGAACACTAATGTTTCAAAACAAAAATCGAGGTTAGGCCTGCACCTCTGCACCACTAAGATCAAGGATTAAATAGGCAAAACAAGTCTGCTCACTTTGTCCTTGTGCTTGTCCTTATCCTTGTGCTCTTTGTGCTTGTCCTTGTGCCTTTCTTTGTCTTTGCTACTGCTACTGCTGTCCTTGTGCTTGGACTCTGATGTTTTACTTTCCTTGCTAGTAGAGGAGTCCTTCTTGACCTCTGTGCTCTTATGAACTGACGATGATGAAGACAGAGCATCTTTGGGTTTGGATGAAGAGGAAGAGGAAGTCTTGTGCTCCTTTCCAGTGGAATGTCCTTTGGAAGAAGACACATGATGACCCTCCTTATGTTTTGTAGAGGAAGATGAAGCACCGACGCTGGCCCTGGAAGCATTGTAGTACCATAAAAACCTGTAGTCGAGCGCCCTCTCTCACTTCCTTGCAAAATGAACATCAACAATGTAGAACTGCATGCAAAGGCACTGTCGCGAGTTAAGTTGACATAGCATTCCACGCAGCATAAAGCAATCAAATATTAACTTCTGGGTTTTACATGCCAAATGTGATTATGAAGCACCTTGTAGTTGGAGCACCAGATTAATTCTGACAACGTAAAGTTCTTTAAACAGGAACTCCCGTTCATTTTCGATCATACTGAGATAATGTTTTCAAATATAGCATTAACAGTCTTGCAAAATCCAGGGCGGTTCATTTTGCCCAGGCACTCGACAATAATTTTAATTAAGCAATAAACAATGAGTCAAAATAGAAACCGAAACAGGGTGCTGCTTCATCATCCATGGTGGGTATCGGATGACGTCACGAAATCTGCTACACCCCGCATCGGCTGGCCACGATGCAAAAATAACACGCCCGCCTCTCCTCAAGTGCGAAAAGCAAATTGGCGATGTCATCCGACGCGGAATCAAGCTGTTCCAGCTCGTCTGAACGTACCACTGACAAGTTCAGCAATAATTGCAGTTACTACCTGAGCGCTGAAACACCACTTTTTTATTTCGACCCGCCAGCGCATGAAGCATCTGACATGCCTGGAATCGATTTCCTCATTGCTAAATATTGCAAGATCCGACGTCAACGACCACTAAAACCCTGTATGCAGCTGACAAAACTGAACTGTGCTCATGTTGTCGTCGCCTCGAAGAAAGCACCCGCTGCATCTGTCTGCTGGGAAAGGCAAGGTTTTTGAAAAAGAGTAGGCCCTTACGTCACACACACAGGATGGCCCGTGTTTGTAAGTGATTTCAGAATCGGCGACCAATTTTAAAGGGCCCCTAAACCACCCAGCGGACGAAATTTAGTTGAGGTGAGAATGTTGTGCTTGAGTTTACAACGAACACGTAGCCGTGAGAATTTTTCAAAACGGTGCCGTAATAGAAAAGTTACATGCGTTTGACGATCAAAACGAGACGATGGCTTCTTTCCTTCTGTCCTACGCTACCCTCTTCCAAAACCGCTTGGCCCCTCCTCGCTGAGCCAGCTGGGTGCCCCTCCTCCTCTCGCGTGGCATACGTCACCGCTGATGACGCGCTGTTCGAGGCGGCGTCTACTTTCAGTTGCCGCGATCCGTCACTCGGACGACCCAGCTCGCTGTCAACTGTGTTGTGTGTGTCATCTGGGTGCACTGATGGTTGACTAACCGCTGTTGCTGTCGTGCCCCTACGAATCGTGCCGGTATGGACCCTGTGTTGCGTTACGGGCCGCAGATGTCGATTAGCAAGCAGGAATACGACCAATATCAGCAAGGTGCGCGGGAACAGCTGTTTGCATTGTGACCGGAAGTCGTCTGTTGTAGTTTTACCAATCGCAAGCATTGAAAATGGTAACGTCATAGAGTTTCACTGGTGATGTAACACATGTCCGTGGTGGGAATGGCGGGGACCGGAAAGGAGAAGCTATTGTTTTTTCGAAATTGCAACGAGCCCGCTACCTGTAGCGCTGCGGCGTGTGGCATCGTCGATCGTGATGGCATTCTTCACGCGATGCACTTGTTTACTTGAAATGTTTGGTAAAATATCAGAGGGCGTTAGGGGCCCTTTAAAATTTGTTTTCAAAAAAGTAAATGACTTACGGTTGTATAATTTGGCAAATATCACCACGGTACAAAAGAGAACACAAGTTTAATTTTATTGAAATCTGTGAATATCAATAAAACGCCAGAGTTGCCTTTAAAGGAGCCCTGCAACACTTTTTGAGCATGGTCAGAAAAGCTGCCGATCGGCAGTAGAGGCTCCCAACAACACTCGAGCCAAATATTATAGCACAGCACGCGGCCGGGAATTCACAATAAATTATCAGTCGGCTAAAAATTGTTTTTTCTTCTCTTGACAAATGAAAGAAGACGCTAAAAATTGCTTCCTCTTCTTTCGAAAAATGAAACAAAAAAAAGACGCTCAAAATGACTTGTAAAAAGCCCATCTATCAGCAATTTAAGCATGGCACGCTCGGTCGATACAGAGATAGCCGTGAGAGGCTGCGACTTGTCCACACGTGCGTGCGCGGATCGCACTGAAGAAGCACCGCATTCAAAAAAAGAAAGAAGTGCTCAAGGTCACGAAGCGTGCCTGAAACATTTTCTTTTTGCCTGCCATCCCTCCCTGCTTAGATTCTAGCGCATTCGTCGAGACGAGAAAAGAGAGAATGCTATTGGAGCATGTAACAAATCATTGTAACTCCATTTGCACTGGACGGATTCTAAAAATGTTTGCGGCGTTGAATTCGTAAGGCAATAAGCTCTTCCAATGAATTCATTTCATGGTTACTTAAAAAAGTATTTGAGGGCCCCTTTAATGTGCACTTACCCTAAAAATTTGCATGTAGTCAGAGGCTCTCTATATTTTGTACTATGAAATATACGAGACTATATGAGGATAACGAATTTTCAGCCAAAAATTTACTGTTTCAGTTTTGGCATTGTGCAACTATTTTCATCATCAGGCCCCTGTATTACGTAGAGCAGGGGTGCAACAACCGAAATACAATTTGTAGCAATTTTAGAGCTGCAAAATGTTACTTTTAGAGCACTAAAATCCAAATTTGGAGCAGTATAAAAAAACAAGGCTTACATTTAGATAGAAAAAAAATGTGTATAAACCATTCAACATTACCTGAATTGTGCAGTGATGAACATTTCAATGAAAGTAGAATTTTGAACCATCCCACTGAGCAAACAATTATTAAGTCGATCTTAGCATTTGCTGCACCTGTCGCATCACTTGACTGACTCTGCAAATTTAAATATGAATCTGACAAGCTCGCGACCTTAAAATTTGGGAGATTCATAAAAGCGAGAATGGAGAAAGAAAAAAAAAAACTGGTCCACAATTTAGTTTCTTTTGGGGGGGGGACCAAAAATGTCATACACTACTTCAAATGATTGCCAGCAGCTTATTTAGACATCAGTAATTATACTGGTACTCAGAATTATGCGGGGTACCAACGCATGAGTAATTGAACAAAATGTGCAGTGTCCCATGACTAGTGCTAACAGCCCCTTTCAAATCTCAATAAACTTTTCTACAGGGCACTCGTGCCCTGCGACGAAGGTGGCTTAAGCAGCATTCTCTGCTCGGGTTTGAACCAAACGGGGGAGTGGGGGGGGGGAGGTGCCGCTTCGGCTCCCTTGCAAGGTACTGCCAGGTAAAGTAACAATGGGGCGTGCCCAGCAACGGTACCAGATATCTATCGCCAGGACCGTGGCCGGGACGAACGCAACTTCAAGGCAAATAAAATGTTTTTCAAGTGCCATTGCAAAGGCAATCAATGTGGTCGCTGGCAACGCTGGCGTTCGCAGCACGTCGAGCTCGTTTGCGTTGCAGAAAATGCAGCATGCGCTTCTAGCTTTAATTCCTAACAAGCCATAGTCGCGTTATCAGGCTAGGAAATTTACATTTCCCGCGAAGATGTTCAAGGCAAAGCATTTTAAATGCGAATGCATTTCGTAGTCTGGCTATGTCAGGCATCCGACATTGTCCATGGCGGTGTCCGCGCGCCGACAGTTGTTATCTCTCTGCTCTCACGCTTTCTCCCATAGCAACAGCTGCGGGCACACGCACTTATCCTTGCCCCTAACTGGAGCATGTGGTGCGAGAGTGTAGGAGAGGATAGGTCAGTGCTTCACCGCTTCTTTTGGCGTTCGCCCGCTCTCCTCTCTGTGCCTCACTCTCCCGTCTGCTCGCGCCTCACTCTCGACCGTTCGCTGGCAGGGCGTCTCTCATGGAGATGGCAGAAGTCGGTGAAGGCGAATGTCTGACGGCAACGGTACCCCCTCTCGGCGCAAAGAAATGCATTTGCGTTTTCTCATGATTCCCTTCGGAGGGTGGGAGCATTTTGTTGTTTTGAAGTTCTGTCGTACCGCTAATAGGTATCCGCTGCGGTCAGAGGAACCAATGGACACGCAGCGTCGTTACTTCATTTGGTCGATCGCGTCTCGCCAGCGTAGGGCAGATGCCTAGAATATTCGGGTATATTCACTGATGGCAAAAACTGCAGGTGGCAGACGTGGCCTACATTTCTCGCCGAAGTTAAGCTGGCTGGGCATTTTGGCACAGCGTGGCACAATTTAAGCGAATTTCGCAGTTTTGGTGCAGCTCGGCGTAACGATAGAACATTGTATCAAATTGGCGCAATTGGTACAGCTGTTGAACCCCTGGTCGAGGGCACTAGTGATAGTCCACTTTCTGGCGGACACGATTGGACGCAATGCAAGGTCCGCAAAACCAGTATTTGGCTGCCTTTAAAAAAGCAAGGTGATCTCAGCTGCCAAAACCATCAGCAACGGCACTGTGGTGCGTCAGTTTAACGTAGACGCATTCGCGATTGGGGTGAAACAGAAGAAAGCCCTCTTGTGTTAGCCTCATGAGAAGTTTCCCGGGCACGAACAATGGGGTGTTTTTCATGTTCAACGAGAATAGACGGGCCTCATTTGGGAGCAATAAAGCGCTGCTGGGGCTCTCATCAATACTCATGTATGACACATTTGATGTCGCCTCCGTAAAGAGACTCTGGCCCGAATCTACGCGCCGAGCTTGCCACTCCGAGAGGACTTCCCAGCTGCAGACGCTTGATGTGTGCCTGTTCACGGATTAGATAAAGTCTGCAGAGCGAGAAGAGACTCCTGCGAAACGGCTGAAACGGGCCTCTCCAGCGATATCGAGCACATGGATCGCCGAAACTTTGGCCTGCGTCCCCGAGGCACCCGTTCGTCGTGCCTTCAAGAAGTGCTGTGTTCGAACACTTTAATGGTATTGAAGATGAGGTGCCTAGGAGGACATCTCTGCAAAGGGTATTTTTGAGTAACATGAACAAGGCAACGATGAATAAGTGCAAAAATAACTGTTTTTAGTTTGTTTTTCTTGGAGGGCTATATTTAGGTAAACCCTTTTTTTTTTTTCTTGCGTTTGATATCCCTAAAATACATCCCGGACTATATGTGGGTTGCAGATTCTATGCAGGTTTTTACGGTAAATCTACATATGAATAATATAAATATAGCACTTCGCTTGCATTGAAACGTGGCTACCATGGCCGGGACTTGAACCCATACCCTTGAATGTAGCAACAAAACGCCCCTCTTGCTAAGATATCCCTGACAAGTGGATGTCATTCTAGATTAGCATAAAGAAGTACGCACACTATTTACACTCACAGCACTCATGTTGGGTATGAAGCATCAACAGTTGAAGCATCAACAAGTGCCTCCCCATTCTGTTTTTTGAACATCATGGATATATCGTATATACTTGCGTAATGAACCTACTGGCGTAATGAACACACTCCCTCCTCAACTTGATCCTCGGAAAAGGAAAAAAAAAATTTAAGTACTTCTTTTCGTTTTATTTCAGTATGATAGCCAGTGCCACAGATGATCGAAACGATAAATCAAGCCATTATACCACATAATAATGATGCAATAAAAGTCAAAATATAGTTTAAACACCATGCTAACAGTTGCGAGCAGCGCGCCATCTGTTCCAAGCAGGAAAAATCTTTTTGCTTATAGCACCACGCAAGTACAGCGGCAAGAAAAGAAAGCAAAAAACTAACCGCATGGCCTCCGCAACGGCGGGCGTGCAGCGTAGAAACACACTACCATAGAGTGCACACCGCGCGCCCGCCTTTTCGAAGGCCACTCAACATGCAACCGCACCGATGGAGTGTTGTCCTCCGGAATGTTTATGCACCACCATCGAACGCTGCGATTTTGTTATCGGGTTTGTCGTAGTGAACTTAGTTTGGCACCTGCTCACAGGGCACGTTCGGCTGGTATGCTATCTACACGGCTAGTTTTAAACATAAAGTTGGTCGAGCATGCACTGGAGCACGGGAACAGACCGGCTGGACGACACAATCCGTGCACGTTCGTTGCGATAGAAAAGAGCTTCAGGCTACGAAAACAATTTGCCGCACATTTCGCGGACCAAGACAAGCAAAACCGCCATGCGAGATTTTCGCTGTTATAACTACAGTGACTTTTTCTCTCGCATAATGAACCTTCCCCCAAACTGGCTACAACTTTTCTGAAAAAAAAAAAAAAAGGTGGGTTCATTACGCAAGTAAATACGATATTACACTGCATGAAACTATATTCGCCATTTCTTGCTGTGCCCTTGTATTACAATCTATATCACACATTAAATAGGCGAAGTCTAATGTCAAAGGAATCGCACCAGTCATGAGAGGCCATTTCAAGTAAAGCAGCTATTTTATAGATATACTGTATTTTGTAATCAGAAAAGGCGTATTTCAATAGATGCACACCTTTACAGGATACAGATCACTAACGCTTCTGGAAATCAGCTTGTATAAAAATTTGTTCTTTGAGCCCTTCTTCATGCAGGAAAAAAAAAAATGACGCTAAAAGATAACTACTTACCCAGAAGATGACTTTTCCCTTTCTTTTTCCTTGTCCTTTTCCCTTTCTCTGTCCTTATCCTTGTGCTTGTCCTTGTGTCTATCTTTATGCTTGTGGTGGTCATCCCTGTGCTCTTTACTGCTTTTGTGGTGTTTACTGCTGCTGCTACTGCTGTGGTTATGTTTGTCAGATGACTTGTGGTGACCGCTGCTGCTGCTGCTGTTCACCACTCCATTCACACCATTTGTCAAGCCTATAGAACAAAATTGTGCCGAAATTAGACTTGCAATGCTTCCTATGTGCATTCACCACACATTTGAAAACGCACTAACAAAATCATGCTATAGCTACACAAGTTGCCATTGCCAAAACTATGTGTAAGTTCAGCCGAGCACTGAAAACAGAATAAGCAGTCATGGTTAGTGTTTGCAACCAGAACCATTTTTTAATCTATATATGAATACAGAAAGAAAAATTTCATTGCAATAGCCATGAAATGGACACTTTCGGCTGGATTTAGTCACCGGCGTCGGCGTCATTCACTGTATAGGTATGTATATACATGAAAACGCAAGAAAGAAATAATCCAGAAAAAGACTCCAGCGCACGGAATCAAATGTCCGACATCCTGCTTGTGAGTGCGAGGCGTTAGCCACTGAGCCACGAAGAAGCACTTCCTTCAACATTGAAACGGCAAGCTACTTATATGTACCACTTACCGCTGGCGATGTGCATCTCGGGGGAACTCTAGCATTTTCAGCATTATCAGCAAGATGGCGCAATGAATTCGCGTCGCCAGATTGTCATGACGCGGCGGTGCGCACTCTCATCTCTCACGCGTACTTTGCCCTGCGGAGAGGGGGGATGAGCGCTCACAAGTGAGTGCGCTTGTCTCGCCGTGGGAAGAATCGTACGCCTTGGGCTTTCACCGGAACGATTCTGTTGTAGTTACCGGATGCACAAAGGTCACAGCACTCGCTGCACAGTCTCCGTTTGCAAAAAGGGCGACCTTTGCAGACAAGGTAAGTAACGATTGAGACACTTATTCGCATTTATCTGTACCTGTCAGGACGCTTTGTTTGTCATATGTGCGTGAGCAACGCGGGACACATTTCGATCTGCTTGCCATCCTTCGCGTGATATTCTAATTTGTTGCTATTGCATTCACTGCTTTACGGCAAAGCTGCGACTTTTTGCAAGCAAAACCTAAACTACAAGCGTGTAGAACCACAGAATATAGATAAGGCACATACAATGCAGTTGCATTGACATCAGTGCATACACCATCTTTCATTGTTGCTAAGGGAGAGCAGTGAATTTTAGAAGTCAAATATGAACCGAACATTACTGAAATAGTAAGACAACCACTTTCAGAACAGCTCCTAACTATTAAAAGGTTTGAATTGTAGCCCATAAGAGGTCTATTCAAAAAGAAAGCAAACATTTAATAAAGCTTGCCAACTGCTTAAAAGTGCACGCTGTAAAAGCCGAGGACACCTGCTGACAGGTTTAGACAGCAAAGTGGTACTCCTCAAGTTTCTCTCTAATCATCCGGCAAACTATAGTCACTGAAGTGCACGTCAGTGACGCACATACCAAAGCTACTTCGGCGCAGCTTCTGGAAATGCTGAAATCTCACTTTGGAGCAGTTTCCAAGCAAACTTTTTCTTTTTCGAACACAAATATTTCTCTCCAAGCTTGATGAGTTCTTCTAAATGTTCAACGAAATTGATATGTGCACACAAACATGCATCCTTATTTAGAAATTCCTAAAAGGTGAAAGTATGTTGCTGGGTACCACCTTTCTGCAGACAGACAGCCTGAAGTTTCTTTGAAGCTGTGACCTCAGACCACCCAGCATTTTCCCAGAATTCACCTCATTGCATGAACAAATATGACTTTCCCCGATGTTTCAGCTACAGCCCTGGAAGCACGAGCAGTTTACTATCCAAATAGACTATTCTGATCATGCTTGTACTTTCAGAAAAATTTAGGGCTTCGCTGCGTGGTGATGTGCCTGTGCTTTATGGAGAGAATCGTGAGGGTCTGAGTTCATGGATGGTTAATAAAATACAGGATTTCAAAATTGATTCTTTAAGCTCCATGAAATTTGTGGTAATGTGAGGCTTGGTATGTAACTTCTGCAAGTGTTCAAACAATAACTGTTGCTGCTGTTGAAAAGGACGAGGAGAAACATTTATTTGGCGCCGTATACATGGAGCTGCTGTTCAGCGTGCAAGAGCCCAGTGTTGGTCAAGCGGCAAGGAGACCTCGGTGCCTGGCAGCTGCCTCTGCTCGCTTCGTGACCCACACTTGGGTTTCTGGATCGGAGCTGAGCAGCGTGGTCTTCCACTGCTAAGGGGCAGTGCAGTGACAGAAGCAACATTCTGCTTTTTGGAGCAGATTCTGGAGCTTAAAAAAAATTATGCTTTGAAGCAGCCTTGTGTGTTTCTGGATCAGAAAAAATGCTAATTAGGAGCAGCTATTGGTGTTTTCAGAGCAGATGGCAAAATATTCCTAACAAACCCGGAGTCCAACGCTTCATATAGAAATGTCATATTAATACTTAAGAAACATTTTTTGCATGTACAACATTCAGAACTAATGCAAGAAATAAATGATCAAGCAGATGGGTGAACATTGAACACAGGTGAGCTATATATATTTAAAATGCCTGTACTTGTGGAATAAATTACATAAAAAGTGGTAAAGATGAGTAGCAAATTATAGAACTAGGCACAATCACCTATTATATAGCCAAAGCAGAAATTTAAAATTGGTTCAAGATCATAAAATGTGTAATTCCCACATGTTCAAAAAATAGCTACACGAGCATCAAATATTAAAAGAAAGCTATTTACATGAAATGCCAGTTCTTGAGACATAAATGAGATCAAATCTGATATAATAATAAATGTAATCAGTCACATCAGTCGTCACAGCAGACATTAGTACGCACTATGATATCAAACTATCATCACACACACAATTCACCAAAATAATGTGCTTGTTAGGTCGAAATATACAGGTGAATATATAGTGCCAGAACTTGTGCCTTGCCAAAAAGCTAGTGTGCAGCTAGTATGCAGTTAGTAGTAAGCAAGCTGCATACTAGCATTCTGGGATGATAGTACAGTAGACTCTCAGTAAATGTAAATCTTTTCAACGGAACTGCTACTTAGAACTACCTCTAATACCTGTGTCGCACGGACACGTTTGAAAGGCCATTGAATCGATGGCCATCGAAATGCTACAACTCTATCGAGCTCGACGGAGTTGTCGCGCTGCCACACGGCAGTTTTCAATTGTCGTTGAGTGATTCAGGTGTTTCCCACGATAATTTCATAGCACTGCAAGTTTTTATTTTCCTTTTTATGTCAGCGTAAATGAAATCATATAAATCTACTTAAAAGCACACTTATGCTCGTTTGTGTTTAAAGATGCAAATAAATGTTTATAGCAATTTTGAATGCATAATTAGTTTTAATCATTGAGCAGCAAAACTGTTGCAATGCTATAACCGCTTTATTTGCTGTTCTGCGGTTGTGTTTACATGTTTACACATGTCGGAGTGCACTGTGACAGCTGGCTGTTACGACTACGTGCTTGTGTGCAGAAGTCATGAACCGCGAAACAGATGACAAGGCCGCTATCGTGTTCTATACGAGTACAATTATACAGCTTGATGCTGTGATCGAAGCGACAAAAGAAGCTGACACCATCGAGGAAGAGCTGCTACTCGTGAACAATTTCCTGATGACAATGGATGCGGTGACACAGCAAAGTGTGGACAGCGAAAGGTGGTCGTTTACTCGGTCTACGAGGTGGTTCGAGGAGACCGTGCCACTGCTTGGCGAGAACTTCTTTAAGAGAGCGTTCCGCCGGGGACTTTTCTCTACATCGTCGAAACAGTCAGACCGCTGCTCGAGCGCCAAATGCGCGAAGCCATTACACTTAATAAACGCGTCGGCGATAACGAGGGCGGTTTGGGGCGAGTGTTGAGCTAGAGAAATTTATATATACAAAAACGAAAATAAAAACTTGCAGTGCCATGAAATTATCGTGGGAAACACCTGAATCACTCAACGACAATTGAAACTGACACAAATACTCTATTAAAAAAACTTAATACGTTCATACACACAACTTTCAATGCATATTCGTTAATTATTTCCTTTTCTAATCATGAGTACGGGCACACTGGGAACGAGAGGGCGCAATTACGCTGTTGCCGCTCTGTGTCCGTTGAACTTTCAAGGGAGTTGTGAGGTGCTCCGTTGACTCGATGGGCCACCGACTCGATAGCCTTCGAAACCGCCCGTGTGGCAGCGCCTGCATACCCGTTGACTCAATGGACCATCGGTTCAACGGCCTTCAAAACGGCCGTGTGACGCGGGTATAACATAATTCGTTTCGTACCTGTACTTTGCAGCCTTACCAATCTCTTACCAATCTCTTGGTAAATTAAACATCTCTTAAAACGAAACACATTTTTACGGTCTCTTGAGGTTATGTTAAATGAGTGTCTACTGTATAGACAGACAGCTTGTTTTTAGTTTTGTTTTGGTTCGTTAAACAATCACACAGTTCAAGTCCATTGTTTTTAATTTCCCAATACCATTTTGTAGCAGGTTCGAAACAGTTAGTAAGAAATATAAGACTTTGGAGCATCACTTCCATCACTGGGATAGTGATATGTGCAAACTCAGGATTAAAAGTTGCAACATTTTAGGACAGCCCCAGATAATATGGTAAAGATTTGGGTCCTCTCTTTGGCAGAGTTTATAACAGCTGGAGTAAAAAGGACGTTGGGATGGTATTCGTTTGTAGCTGCCTCCAAATTACATAGTCTCTGTCACCTTTAGAGTAGTGTGTGCTCGGGGATAGATTAATCTGGCTAGAGGATAATGTTTGGTATCTCCTGGAATGTTACCATGTGGTCACTCGATAATGGCCTTGGGCTCTCAGCTGCGGTACCCGCATTCCCGGTCGATGAATGGCCCTCGGCACAAAGAATGAATGCTCGAGCCTGATTGTGGGCGGCCTCATCACCGGAAAGCAATGCACGGGTGGAGCCCAGATTATCTGTATGATGCAGTGATTAAGATTGCGTTTGAGGATTGAATTAGCCGCAGGGGATTCTGAGACACCAATGCTTTCTTGGAAAAATTCCACAGTATGCTACATCTAGTGGTATTGCTAATAAAGTGCAGTATTGTATGGTCAGGCATAACTTATAAATTAAGCACCCTG